TCCTTTGCTGCATCTTCATCCACTTCCCAACACTAAGCATGATCCTAAGGCTCTCTCCTGGACCCTCTTCTCTAGCTCTTCCCTTTTTCTCAGTGATTTCATCAGCTCTTATGGAATCAGTTATCATCTCTTTAAATGACTCTCAAATCTACAAATTGCAGCCCTAATTTCTCTCCTAACCTCCAGTCCTGCTTCACCAACTGTTAGACATCTCCATGTGGTTAGTTCCTAGGCATCTCAAACTCAACACATTTAAAAGGGAAATCATGATTTTCCCTCTAAACCTGAACTTCTGTCTATTGGTGGAATGGATAGAGCCCCGGACTTGAAGTCAGAAAGACCCAAGTTTAAATCCTGCCTTATACACTTACTAGCTGTACGACCTTGGGCAAGTCACTTAACAACTTCTGTTTGCATCAGTTTCTTCATCTGTAAAATGGGGTAATAGCACCCTCCTTCCCAGAGTTGTGATGAGGATCAAATGGGATAATATTTATACAATACTTAGGCCAGTGCCTGGCATATAGTAGGTAGTATGGTAGTTGTTATTATTATCATTAGAACCATGATCCTTCTGTTCACCCAGTTCATAACTTTGGCCTCATCTTCCCTTCTTCTTTGTCCCTTATCCCCACATACAATTACTTGTCAAGTCTTACTAATTCTGCACCTACAATGTGTCTCCCCTCCTCTCCATTCTTAAGAGGAACACTCTAGTCTAGTACTTTATCAGCACTTTGAATTACAACAGTCTCCTCCAGATCTCAGTCTCTCTCCTCTATAATTCAGCCTCCACACTGCTGCCAAAGTGATCTTCCTGAAGCACAAATCTGGCCAGGCTGCTCCTCTGCTCAAAAACCTTCTCTTGATCCACTTTACCTCTAATGTAAGATAAAATTCCTCTGCTTATCATTTAAAACCCTTCACAGTCTGGCTCCATTCTACCTTTCCAGGCTAATGTCACATCTGCTATCCTTCCTGCACTCTCCCTTCTAGGTAAACTGGCCTGATTACTGTTCCCTAAATGGGGCCCTTTATCTCTCCCATCTCTGTGCTTTTGCACATGCAGCGGCCAGTTACTGGAGCAAACTCCTTCTTGACTTTGACCTCCTAGAATTCCTACTTTCCTCCAAAGCTAAGCTCACGTACTCACTTCTACCAGAAGGCTTCCCGGATCTCCTTAGTTATTAGGGCTCTCTTCCTCCTCAAATTATCACCTATATGAGATGCTTCTATCTGTATATTCTATCCTCCCAGTAGAACATAAGCTCCTAGAGGGTGAACACTGCTTATATCCCCAGAGTCCTGTACAGTGCCTTTGGATTGAAATGACATCTTGTTATGGTTCCTACAACCATCCCACCAGTTAGCAGAGCAAGTAAGGCTGTAAGTCGCCGGTATAGGGTAACAATAGGAAATGGATACTAAGAGTGTGAGGGAGGAAACAAAAAAGTCACTTGCCAAAATTGCCTCCTAAATGAATTAAGGCCACATCCAGAGACCATGTGCTAAATTAAGAAAAGCTAAGTAGGCCCCAATGAATCGCCCTAGGTCTGCAAGCTGCAGATAAGCACCAGACATTCGCAGTAAAACCAGAGAAACGTTATGCTAATAAGGCAACCCTAAGGTGGTACAGATAAGACTTAGGCCATCCCCCAATTAGAACCCTATTAAAATAGGACCCCAAAGCCTTGCCCCTTTAGCACTCTTCCAATTGCTATGGGTCCAAGCTACCAGAGCATTCCCAACTCCCCTCTGTAGTTACTGAAATGGCTTTATGGGCCTCTCTCCCTCCCAGGCTGTCTGCCTCCCTCTCCCAGCCCACTCCCCATGCTGGCTGCCCCTCTATTCTTTGTGCCTTATTAAAGTATGATTGATTCCTCATTCACTGCCAGTGTGATCTTTCCCAGGGAGTATCCAAAGAATTGGGCTTGTTCACCCTGACCCAACCAGGACCTCCTCAAGGTCTCTTTCCTCACAGTATAAACCAGATACCTGGGCTGAGCCTTAATTTGCCAGCAACCACAACTACCACGGGCAAGCATGGCACCCTGAATCTAATGACAGAAAACAAAGGCTGACAAGAAACCCTGGGTCCCTCTGGATAAGGATCTGCCCTCAGGCTGGGCTTAATAGAACAGCCTTGCACAAAGTTAATAAATGATTATTGGATTGGATTACAAGCTGCCAGATGATCCAAATGGGTGAGCCTTTCTCTTTACTCATGACAGTGTCTTATAGTTTCTGTGTCCCTATCCCCCACCCCCAACTGACAGCAACTGTCCTGTACAGAAAGTCCTAGTTATAGCTGTGTAGATATGGAAACTCAGATCCAGAGAGATAAGTGACTTCCTAAGGCTTTATAGGAAATAAATGGAAGAGAGTTAGGATTTGAACCCAGGGTCTTTGACTCCAAATCCATCACTCCCACAATTCCATTACAACATGGTGTCCCCAAAAAAGTTTTATCCAAACGTAACAATATCTACCCATATCTACTCTGTCCATTTATAGTCAGAATCAAATGAGATGTTTATGAAAATTTTTGAAAGGTTGAAATTACTAAATAATGATGATGTATAATCATTATTCCTTAGGCAAATTATAATCGGACCAAATTAGATTTTGTCCCAGGTACAAATTAAGAACATTATGTTTGCTCTTCTCTTGACTTTAGATCACTTCCCGATAGGAGTTTTAACTGTAACAAAAGAAAGCAGAAAGATGGAAGGAATGAGAAATTGGCATTACAATGATAATATTGGTATCATTAATTAATAGTGTGGTCCACTTTCTCCCCATTTTATAGAGGAGGAAACTGAGGCATAGGAAAATCAAGTGATTCACCTAAGGTCACTGTGTCATACAGAAAATTTGAGAGACGTAATTTCTGGGTAATTAATTCTTTTATTAATCATGCTGGCATATAATTAAAGGGGTCAGTGACACTCTCAAATGCCAAAGAGGTGTTGGCTGACCAGATTCAAGTCCTGCTTCTGATACGTACTGGCAATATGAACTTGAGCAAGTCATTTATTTACCTCTCTGCCTTAGTAGAGGGAGTTTTCTCTCTATGAATTCTCTAAACTAAGGAAATCATAGGTCTAGTAAAAAAAAATACTATATTCAACGGGATCCTTAGCATAACACAGAAACTGGACCTCTTGGAACTTATGCCTGTCCTATGAGACCTTCTACAATCTGTGGCTCAAACAGTTGCCAATAGCTTCCACAGGGGCAGTGAACGCTGTCCACAGGCACTTTCTTAGGAACAGTCTACTACCCACACTTCAAACCAAAAACAAAAGTTTTGAAAGAAAACCTCCAACCACAAGACATTTTGGGAGCAGCCCTACAATTTGCTTTCTTCTTCTACAGGAATCTGTGCAGCAGCCCAAACCAGGCTACTCAGGGGAAAAGGTACTGAGTGAGATGACCTGGGTCTAAATAGGTGACTTTGGACAAGATACTTCACGCCTCTGAGCCTTCTCTGCCTTCTCTGTAAGATGTGAGGATTGGACTAAATAATCCTTAAGGTTACTTCAGTCTCTAAGGACTTATTCTCCAAGGCTAATACATTTTTGTTGAACGATTCATCAGTGAGAAAGAAGAAACTCTCTGTAAAATAATGCCAACCAAATTCTTTATCAACCACCAATGATTTTTCCTCCACTCAGGGGGAAGAAAAAACATACCAGAGTTTTTCCTCCACTCTTTCTCTGCCTCTCAAGTTAGACAGAGTTTGGGAAATGACAAATTCTGAGGAAAGCTGTTTCTATATGGAAACGCACTCCACCCCCTGCTCTACCATGGGGACTAAGCCTTGAATTCTCTTTGCTTTTACTAGGTGAGCTGTCTACTTTCACAGAATCACAGAATCAGAGATTCTTTCTCAGCATAATGCTACAATCTCTTAAGATACCTCTGGAAGACAGGAGCTCAAAAAGCCTCCCTCAGATGCTAAAGGAGTGTGACCCTGGGCAATTCACTTAACCTCTCTCTGCCTTATTTTCCTAATCTGTAAAATAGGGATAATACTAGTACCTCCTGCCCAGGATGGTTGTGAGAAGCAAAAGAAAATATATATGTAAAAGGGCTTGAAAACTTTAAAAAGCCTTATACCTATTATTGTTACTGCTAGCAACACATTCTCCCTAATACCCAGACAACTTCAGTCCTCATTGCTAGCTCATTGTTATCATGAGTGGTTGATTATTGCTACTTTGAGATTTTTCTCACAGTACATTGTACTTCTTTGTAACTCAAATTCAGCCCTCATTAAAGGAAACCTTGCCTGTTGCCAAAGAATGGCTTTCAACATGAGTATGCCCCAGCATTTCTGAAATGTGAAGTTATAACAAGGGAACATGGGAAGGTTATAGAGATATTTTTCCTCTTAATTAGCAGTCAAAGGTAAAAACGGGCATAGTATTCTGATCAAAAGCAAAAGAACTCAAATCCTAACTAGTTTTTTTTGAAGGAAAACGGGATAAGATGGCAATAAAAAATATTAAAATTGTAAAGAAAATCCCCAAAGACAGCATAATAAATAATAATAATAATAAGAGAGAGCATTGCTGAAATACAATAAAATAAAAATACCTTCACATTAGTTTGTTTGGTTTGGGTTTTTTTGCTTTGTTTTGTTTTGTTTTTTTGCCAAATAACTAGAAGACAGCCTTCCTAGGAGTTCAAAGATAGTGCTACTTTCTATTTATATATTTTTATCAATATTCTTTCATTCAATTTCAATAAATTCCCACAAGGTAAACAGACAGCAAGTTTACATTTTCCAGTTAAGGACACTGAGGCAAGAAATATCAAAATGACGTGGTGAACATCACATGTTAAATCCAGGTTGGGGGTGGGGAGGAGGAGGTTCAGGGTAGAAGAATTGTTTTCCTTCACTGCCCATCTAACATATTGTCTCTAAAGCCTACTGTCCCCTTCAGCCACTTTTTTTCTCTCATAGATAAGGGTTTGAAGATCTTGATCCTTACCTCGGAAGTTACTGGGCACACCCCCACTCTTTTGTCACCTTAGGAGAAAACCCTTGAGGGCTTAAGCCTGTCCTGGATCTCCTCTGCCCTCCTTTGTTCCAGAGAACCCTTCTTCCCTCTCTGAGTTTAAATCCCATTTGGATAAGACCAGGATAGCCAATAGGGATGCTTGGGTGTTACCCTTTCTTCCAGAGAGGGATTCCACTTGAGATCTAACAAAGAATTTCTTCCTCCACTCCTCATATTAACTGGAAAAAAGATGCACACTTTTCCCCAGTTCTTCCTTCTGCTTTGTTTACACGGCAGCTAGAAACACTGGAGAATGTTTCCATTTAAGCAGATGAGAAGCTAAGCTACTAAGAGGGTAGAATGTCTTGTGGCAGGGGAGCCAGGGCTTTGGATTTGTACATGCTTATTTATTTGTACAATCTCTTTCCTGTCTTGGGGGTTTCTGAGCCCTTTCTAAAAGTGTCTCTTTAAGCTGAACTCTCGAGCATGTAAGTTTGTTGTGGTCAAACAGAATGAAGTAGAGGCATTTATGCTTCCCTCTTGCCATTTACAATGTCATTCTTTGCCATCCAAAGCATGTAGTACATTAGAAAGAGGCTTGGATTTGGAGTTAGAGGCACTGAGTTCTAATCATGGTTCTGCAAATGATTATGTGACCTTGGGCAAGTTACATCCCTTCTCTAGCTATTTCCTCATCTGTAAGATGAGAAACATTGGACAAGATAGCTCTAAAGTCTCTGCCACCTCTATGTCCTATGATCTTTCCTCCTTGTAGGGGATAGCAGACAAAGGCATTGTTCAAGATGATTGAAGACCACCCTATCCTCTTCCTCCTAAATTCCTCTAAAGCATCATCAGTAAGAGAATATTGTAGTCGGGAACCCTGACACACCATGATCCTTGCCATAATGTCCAGACTCTTGCTCCAACCCTGACAAAAAGGGTAGGGTCATAAATAACAGGCCTATTGAATCTCTATTTCCAATCCTTTTGTGTTCTATTAGCTCTTGGGACATCAGAGAGCCATCAAGAACAGTGGGAGCTAGAGTAAGAAGTCTGAAGATGTATTCTACTTCACGCTATTCAAATTCACAATTATGTGAAATATGATCATAGGTTCCAGCCCAATGGAATTATGTAGTGTGAGTTCAAACAATGCAACCACTTTGTGGGATTTATGATTCATAGTAATCAGGACCTAGCTATATTAGTTCCTTCCATTGATAAGTGTAGGCAGAGGGAAGAAGGGAGGAGGAATTAAATTAGAGATTTAAGATCAGATAGAAAACACCAAAAGTTCTGGTGTCTTTTTATTTCTTTCCTTAACCATCACCAAATGATGTGTGACACCACTTACCCTGCTCCACTTCTTAGCCCCTAACACTGTTAACTGGTGTGTCCCCATCCTTTCTCAATCTCATTCTTAGGTTACCTTTGTTTTTTTGTTTTGTTTTGTTTTTGTTAAGCAATGGGGTTAAGTGACTTGCTCAGGGTCACACAGTGTCAAGTGTCTGAGGCTACATTTTAAACTCAGGTCTTCCTGACTCCAGGACCAATGCTCTATCCACGGAGCCACTTAGCTGCCCTGATACCTTTGTTATTTATCCCTAGCATAAGAGCTAACATGATGAGTATGCAATTGACAATACAGTATGATTTCAGAGCCACTAAGAAGGCCATTTTGCCACAAATAACTGTCCCTTTCAATTTCGCTGCCTTTTCCTCCTTGCCTTCAAACATATATTTCCTAACCTGCCCCCTTCAATCTGCCCCACTTCCTTCCCACCTCCAACTCTCCTGAAACTGTACTTTCAATATGGAACTCTAATTGCCTTTACTCAATCTAAGTTCTCCTTGACCTCTATGGACCATTTAATACTTTGATCACCCTTTCCTCAAAGTTCTTAGAAGGACAGATAACTAAGGCAATGTTGGAACTACCATGTTAAATTTAATTTATATTTTTTAAAAAATATATATTTTCATATATATTTTAAACCCAATCTATACATAATAGTTTCATAGCATATACATAATACATATATCCATCCCTCTTTCTTTTCTCATTTCTTAAACATAAGAAAATATTCATGTTTGTTGATGTTTGAAAAATAAACAAAAGCAACAAGAATAATATTTTAATTTAAAATTTTTTTCTCAATTACATGTAAAAAAATTTTAACATTAAAAAAATTTTGAGCTCCAAATTCCCTCCCTCCTTTCCTCCCCTCGCCTCTCCTTGAGAAGGCAAGTGATTCGACAGATTATACGTGGGCAGTCATACAAAACATTTCCATATTAGCCATGTTGCAAAAGAAAATGCAGGCCAAAAAAACACAAACAAGAATAGTAAAGAAAGTAAAAAAAGTATTCTTCAATCTGTTTCAGACTCCATCAGTTCTTTCTCTGGAAGTTGATATCATTTTTCTTCATAAACCCTCCAGAATTGCCTGAGATCATTGTATTGCTCAGAATACCCAGATCATTCACAGTTGATCATTATACAATATTACTGTTGCTGTGTACAATGATTTCCTCGTTCTGCTCACTTCACTTTACATCAGTTCATGTAAGTCTTCCCAGATTTTTCTGAAAGTATCCTGCTTGTCATTTCTTATAGCATAGTAGTATTCCATCACAATCATATACTACAACTTGTTCAGCCATTCCCCAACTTATGGACATCCCCTCAATTTCCAATTCTTTGCTACCATAAAAAGAGCTGCTATAAATATTTTTGTACAAATATGTCCTTTCCCTTTTTCTTTGATCTCTTTGGGATACAGACCTAGTAGCCGGTTTTCTTGGGCCAAAGGCTATGCAGTTTTATAGCCCTTTGGGCATAGTTCCAAATTGCTCTCCAGAATAACTGGATCAGATCACAACTCCACCAACAATGCATTAGTGTCCTTATTTTTCCACATCCCTTCCAACATTTGTCATTTTCCCTTTCTATCATATTAGCCAACCTGATAGGTGTGAGGTGGTGCCTCAAAGTTGTTTAATTTGCACTTCTGTAATCAATAGTGATATAGAACATTTTTTATATGACTAGCTTTGATTTCTTTTTCTGAAAACTGCTTGTTCATATCCTTTGACCACTTGTCATTTGAGAGATGACTCATATTCTTATAAATTTGATTCAGTTCTCTATATGTTTTAGAAATGAGGGCTTTATCAGAGAAACTTGACACAAAAATATTTCCCAGTTTCCTGCTTTCCTTCTAATCTTGGCTGCATTGGTTTTGTTTGTGCAAAACTTTTTAATTTGATGTAATTGAAATTATCCATTTTATATGCTGTAATACTCTCTGTTTCTTGTTTGGTCATAAATTCTTTTTTTATCCATAAATCTGACAGGTAAAATATTCCATGCTCCCCTAATTTGCTTGTGATATCACCTTTTATGTCTAAATCATGTACCTATTTTGACCTTGTCTTGGTATATGGTAAGAGATGTTGGTCTCTATCTAGTTTCTGCCAAACTGCTTTCCCATTTTCCCAGCAATTTGTCCAATACCAATTTTTGTCAAATTTTTATAAAAAATTCTTGTCACCAAATCTTGGATCTTTGAATTTGTCAAACACTAGATTACTATGGTTATTTACTACTGTGTATTGAGTACCTAATCTATTCCACTGATCCCCCATTCTATTTCTTAGTCAGCACCATATTGTTTTGATGATGAACACTTTTAATACAGTTTGAGATCTGGTATTGCTAAGCCACCTTCTTTCATATGTTTGTTTGTTTGTTTGTTTTTATTGATTGATATTCTTGGCCTTTCATCTTCCAGATGAATTGTCATTATTTTTTCTAGATCTATAAAATTAATTTCAGCAATTTGATTGGTATGGCACTGAATAAGTAAATTAATTTAGATAGAATTGTCATTTTCATTATCTTGACTTGGCCTTCTTGTGAGAAATTAATATTTCTCCAGTTGTTTAGATCTGACTTTATTTGTGTGAAAAGTATTTTGTAACTGTGTTCATATAGTTCCTGGGTTTGTCTTAGCAAGTATTTTATATTGTCTGCAGTTATTTTAAATAGAATTTCTCTATCCCTTCCTGATGGACTTTGTTGGTAATATATAGAAATGCTGACGATTTATGTGGGCTTATTTAATATCCTGCAACTTTGCTGAAGTTGTTAACTATTTCAACTAAGTTTTTTTAGTTGATTCTCTAGGATTCTCTAAGTATACCATCAAATCGGCTGCAAAGTGTGATAGTTTTGTTTCCTCATCCCCTATTTTAATTCCTTCAATTTCTTTTTCTTGTCTTATTGCTATAGCTAGCATTTCTAGAATGATATTGAATAATACTGGTGATAATGGCCATGCTTGCTTCACCCCTGACCTTATTGCAAAGGCATACAGATAATGTTTGCTGATGGTTTTATTCTCTTAGCCTGGCTTCTATGGCACTGAACTTCACTGGTTTCTTTCTACTTCTTTTACTTCTTTATGTCTTTTTTACTGTTTCCTTCCATATTTCTCCTATCCTTCCCCCCACCAAAGAGGAGTATTTCCCAAGCTACTTCTAAGCTCTCTGTTCTCTTTATATATTCTCCTCTCCTCCTGCCTCTTCAGGGAGTTTGCCCCCTCCATATAAATATTTTTCTCTCCTGCTTTCTCTCCCTCTCCCTCTCCCTCCCCACTCTCACTTTATCCACTGTCCAGCATTAGAACTAGCATGGGGTAACCAGAGTTTTTCCCTAGGGTGTGAAATTCAGAGGGCACTTATATAACACTTGTAGTCTTTCAGCAGTTTAAAAGCAGCTGTACAGGCCAGCAGTCTTTGGACTAAAGCAAGTCAAGAAGTTATTAATTGGTTTTCCTTTGTCAGAGAGAGAAAGCTCTAGCAGATGCCTGAATTCAGGAAGTTCCCCATCATGTCTACTGTGTCATATCTCATGTTATACTTGTGATCTCAAGCTCCTGGTGGTCTGCAATATCGTCCAATGACAAAATCAATTCTGTTTCTCCCTCCTTTGACCTCCCAAATACTTCCCGCCATACTTGCCCCTTCTGGGCCCTAAATTTCCTCAAATGAGTATAGGTCATACAATGTA